TATGTCATGGTAAGGTTCCACATTTTTTGGTCAAAGCTGACTTGAAATTAAAACTGAGTGTCCTCAGTCATTTTTGTCATGCCTGGAACTCTAAAAGACATTCTATTAAATGGAAGAGTAATTATGATCGGTTTTTGGACATATTTTGATAACAAAAGGATGTTCAGCTACCTCAACCGACACAGGGAAGTAAAGCGTTTGCAGAAACCGTTTGCAGATGTCATTACAAAGGCAGCACTTTCTTCTCAATTATTTAAAGACCCTGAGTGTTGGTTCGGCTGGGGTTTGAACCCGCGACCTCCCGCTCTGCAGACCGGCGCTCTCCCAACTCAGCTAACCAGGCCTTGGCTAAGATAGAGCAGCCTTACCAGCAAGCTTTTAGGAAACGTTTACGTAGGGTAAAAAGGAAAGAACTTAACATAGGCGAAGACTGATGTAAAAAAAGCTAGCGAATAACTGAGACAATGACTATTATACTTTGCTAAACCGGAGGAAATCTGAGCGTAATAACCAAGTGTCGATTCTGATTGCTCAGAATGGAATTTTATTCCTGGGTTTGTACCGAATATGTAGCAAAACTTCCAAGACGAAGTCGAAAATTATGACCCAACTACGCGAGGTTTCGGAGGGGCTGAAGATGAAGATGTTGCAATTTCCTACGCTGGAGAGCCTTTGGCGAGTCAACAGTTTATTCAAGAGGACAATAGGAAGAGATCGATAGAAGAGGAGTTACGGCAGAAGCTACAAAAACTGGGAGGAAGTAAGAACAATGCCTTAAACTACGTTATTGTTTCTAGCCTACGTATGGCCGCACTGCACACGCCCCTGCCCCCCCCCCCCCACTCCCCCAGCTCAAATAGGCAAATTTCGTACTCTTTAACTGGGCATAAAGGCCGTTAGTTTTATGCGATTCACGCAAATTGTACCTTGTTTTAAACCTGAAGTCGCATAGAATTCGCTAAAATTTTTTAACAAACCCAGGGTGATATGCACTTTAAGAAATGTTTTCTTATTTGTTGCAGGATGTTGAAAGGAACACCGAGCCGGAACATGAAAGGCCTGATCTCATTCCTGATTTATCATCTGAATCAGAGATGGAACTGCAACTGGTTTGTCACCAGCTTCATTTGTTTAAGTTTATTTACTTTAGCAGAAGCATATGCTTCTGACTTAATTCAGTTTTATTGTTCTGTCCGTAAGAGATAATCAAACACGCTTGGGAGCCTTCGTTAATTAGCGTTTATTAATGAGGATTTACGAGTTGGTGGTAGTTAATAACACAGCAGTTACATTAAAAGTTTTGAAATGAGAACCCGTGCATTAAGAAAAGTTTTATTTAATTGTTGCAGGCTATTCTAAGAAGCCTCATGATTCCACCTGAATTGCCTGATCCATTATCTGAATCAGGGATGGAAGAGAAACAGGTTAGTCATCCACTTCTCTTATTTTAGTTTATGCACCTATCTACGTAAACCCCGTGGGGTGGGGGGGGGAAGTGCGGGCAAGGGGTGGGGATTTGACAAATTTTAAAATTTTTTGATCAAATTCCCCAGGGTGGGAGACGAAAGGTCAATCAAAAGTGTCAAAAAAGCCCCCACCCCAGGGGAAAAATCTAAACAAGCAATACTATAATACTATATAAAACGAATGAAAGAACATTTCAAAAGTACGTTCTTACTACTTTTATTTAAGGTTAACGTAAGCTCCGTTAAATTACTCGCTGTAATTAAGTATTTTCTCTCTCCACTAGCATCTCTTATTTTGAACAACATAATCACTCCGGGAAGATTGACCGTGCTATTATATTAATGAAACGTAACATGCTTTCTAACATCGGCTCAACATGTCGGAACAGGTCGGATCAGTGACCTGTAAAAAATCCTCTGACTTTCATGGTAGAATTCGATTTCAATCGAGGTTTACAATCAGATGGGAACTTGAAGATAAAAACTTTCTCAAAATAGACATTATCTGTTTAGATGTCATGACAGTGTACATACCAAACTTCTCTCAGTCAAAGCTTTTGTAAACTGGCGAGCTTCTTGTAAATGACCACCTCTCAAAAGCAAACGCGACCACTTTTTCAACTGATATTTTAACATTATCCATCTTTTGAAACTGCCAGTTTGCGATGAGTTGACGTGGGATCTGATATGTTAAGGATGCGAATAATGCCACGATATCCATTGTTCGCCTTATGTACTACGTAATTCTTGAAAATCTACCTGGTGATTTTAGTGACAACACGGCACTACTCGCATTTAAGCTTAAAACTGTATTTAAGAACATGAGCTGATCTGTCAGAACTGTCCCCTGTAGAGTCCACCCGTCCTCTCCCTCCCCTCTAACTATGATCCGACTCTCATAGCAAAACAGCAAACCATGCTCAAACTTTCTTGTTACGCAAACAAACATAGTAATATCCAGGCAAAGTTGTATCGTCAGCTGGTTTGTCAGTTCTGAATAGGTTTTTTTTTAGATGAACCTTGTTCCTTGTCTTCGTAGGAAATGGGGTCACAGACTGAATTGCAAGACTCTTTACCTGAGTTGGAGCGTATCTCTCTTCATGAGGTAATTACGGCAGACTCCCGAAGTCTTCCTTTTCAGACAGTGATAAAATAAAATAAACCCTCACAGCGTGAAACGAACTTATTTAGGCTTCTTTTTGGTAACGAACATGTTAATAAGGAGTCGGCCAATTTTGCCTTCACTACCAGAAAGACACATACAAGTGTGTAGATACAGGATCCTGCAGGTCACTGATGGTCAGTTCATTTAAGGTATTAGAACTGCTATAAAGTCAAAAAATGATCATGCTTATAAAATCGCTTCTTTGAAATGTACTCTTAACCTGAACTCAAATTCCAAAAATAAAGCATTTTCGTTGAATAGAGGCCGAGAAAGCGAAGGCCAAAGTTGGTGTCTAAGAGCGCTATTTTGAAAATATTGATAATCACAGGGCTGCGACGCGATACTTTCCGTTGTTTACAGAAATGTTGCAATTTTCTTAACCCGACACGCGATAACTCGTTATGAGTTTCAAGTAAGTCAGGGCAAATTATAGGAAAATTCGCTTACATTCTGCCGTCTCATTATCACTGTCAACAGTGTCATGCATCTTTATAATATCGTGATACAGACACCACTTTATATAGGAAAAGGGAACGTATACCCCCAACTTGCTGAAATCATCTGCCGGTCTGTCAACTCGGGGGAGAGGTCAGCGGAAACTATAAATCGCTGAAGACAAATAAATCACATTTTACAATAACATTGTGGTGTCGATAAAATTGCTGACCTAGAATGATTCAAAATGGTATCTGACGGCTACACGATAGACCCGGTCCTGTAATCCGTACTGACAGAATAGCTATTGCTGTCTATTGCGAGATGCTAAACTGTCTGAAATACCATGCTTCTGTAGGTAGCAGAGGAGAGGTTGTGGTGGATAAGCTTGCAAGCCTCATCACCATCAAGAGACGTTTTACAATTTAATATTGTCTAATAACATTGGGTCTTTTATCCAAGGTGGGGTTCTATGATTATTTAAGTGGGGAAGACCATACTCAGCTTTCATTCCAATGTGTGTTCGTTGTAAAATAAGTACGCTAGTGGGGTTACAGTTACATATAGAATATGGATGGTGTTTAGTATAAATGTATGATTTTTGCCAGAACGAGGGAGAAGTCATTGAATCTGAAGATGGAACACCATCCTATGAATCAGAGGAGGATCAAGAACAGGTGGGTTGCTGATATTTTTTATAAAGATTTTGTTTGAGAGACTGTGCAATAATTATCAGGGGTAAACATGTTTAATTAAACTACCAGTTTTTGAAACTGAATGAAAAACTGCAGAAGTAAACTAAAACACAGGCTTTTACACAAAATTCGAATGAACTTTTACGCGTTACGTAATTGCACTAAATTTGCAATCGAAAAAAAAAAGTACAGTAGGCAGCTTTTATAAACAAGCAAGGAAGGAAGGGGCATTAGTCTAGCTCAAGTTAAGCACAAGTCAGAGTAAAATAAGTTGTATAATACTGTACAACTATGGGCGTGGTTAAAATTGTAAGTAGCGCGCATTATATACTTAGCAAACAACAAGACAGTATTAAAATTCACGCGAAGTTGCATACTACAAGAGTAAACTAAGCTGTATGATACTGTACAACTATGGGCGTGGTTAAAATTGTAAATAGCGCGCGTTATTTTACTTAGCAAACAACAAGACAGTATTAAAATCCAGGCGAAGTTGTATCCTTAATATCATATGGGATAACTGTCGATATTTGAAGGGGGTATGTCATGGTAAGGTTCCACATTTTTTGGTCAAAGCTGACTTGAAATTAAAACTGAGTGTCCTCAGTCATTTTTGTCATGCCTGGAACTCTAAAAGACATTCTATTAAATGGAAGAGTAATTATGATCGGTTTTTGGACATATTTTGATAACAAAAGGATGTTCAGCTACCTCAACCGACACAGGGAAGTAAAGCGTTTGCAGAAACCGTTTGCAGATGTCATTACAAAGGCAGCACTTTCTTCTCAATTATTTAAAGACCCTGAGTGTTGGTTCGGCTGGGGTTTGAACCCGCGACCTCCCGCTCTGCAGACCGGCGCTCTCCCAACTCAGCTAACCAGGCCTTGGCTAAGATAGAGCAGCCTTACCAGCAAGCTTTAGGAAACGTTTACGTAGGGTAAAAAGGAAAGAACTTAACATAGGCGAAGACTGATGTAAAAAGCTAGCGAATAACTGAGACAATGACTATTATACTTTGCTAAACCGGAGGAAATCTGAGCGTAATAACCAAGTGTCGATTCTGATTGCTCAGAATGGAATTTTATTCCTGGGTTTGTACCGAATATGTAGCAAAACTTCCAAGACGAAGTCGAAAATTATGACCCAACTACGCGAGGTTTCGGAGGGGCTGAAGATGAAGATGTTGCAATTTCCTACGCTGGAGAGCCTTTGGCGAGTCAACAGTTTATTCAAGAGGACAATAGGAAGAGATCGATAGAAGAGGAGTTACGGCAGAAGCTACAAAAAACTGGGAGGAAGTAAGAACAATGCCTTAAACTACGTTATTGTTTCTAGCCTACGTATGGCCGCACCGTACACGCCCCGCACCCCTCCCCCACTCCCCCAGCTCAAATAGGCAAATTTCGTACTCTTTAACTGGGCATAAAGGCCGTTAGTTTTATGCGATTCACGCAAATTGTACCTTGTTTTAAACCTGAAGTCGCATAGAATTCGCTAAAATTTTTTAACAAACCCAGGGTGATATGCACTTTAAGAAATGTTTTCTTATTTGTTGCAGGATGTTGAAAGGAACACCGAGCCGGAACATGAAAGGCCTGATCTCATTCCTGATTTATCATCTGAATCAGAGATGGAACTGCAACTGGTTTGTCACCAGCTTCATTTGTTTAAGTTTATTTACTTTTTAGCAGAAGCATATGCTTCTGACTTAATTCAGTTTTATTGTTCTGTCCGTAAGAGATAATCAAACACGCTTGGGAGCCTTCGTTAATTAGCGTTTATTAATGAGGATTTACGAGTTGGTGGTAGTTAATAACACAGCAGTTACATTAAAAGTTTTGAAATGAGAACCCGTGCATTAAGAAAAGTTTTATTTAATTGTTGCAGGCTATTCTAAGAAGCCTCATGATTCCACCTGAATTGCCTGATCCATTATCTGAATCAGGGATGGAAGAGAAACAGGTTAGTCATCCACTTCTCTTATTTTAGTTTATGCACCTATCTACGTAAACCCCGTGGGGGGGGGGGAAGTGCGGGCAAGGGGTGGGGATTTGACAAATTTTAAAATTTTTGATCAAATTCCCCCAGGGTGGGAGACGAAAGGTCAATCAAAAGTGTCAAAAAGCCCCCACCCCAGGGGAAAAATCTAAACAAGCAATACTATAATACTATATAAAACGAATGAAAGAACATTTCAAAAGTACGTTCTTACTACTTTTATTTAAGGTTAACGTAAGCTCCGTTAAATTACTCGCTGTAATTAAGTATTTTCTCTCTCCACTAGCATCTCTTATTTTGAACAACATAATCACTCCGGGAAGATTGACCGTGCTATTATATTAATGAAACGTAACATGCTTTCTAACATCGGCTCAACATGTCGGAACAGGTCGGATCAGTGACCTGTAAAAAATCCTCTGACTTTCATGGTAGAATTCGATTTCAATCGAGGTTTACAATCAGATGGGAACTTGAAGATAAAAACTTTCTCAAAATAGACATTATCTGTTTAGATGTCATGACAGTGTACATGTAAAGTATCGGATTATGGCGATTAAAACAAATGAAAACTTCATGACTTTCTCCAACAGCGTGACTTTCAGAAAGCCTCGAGGGACGGACTTGGTTATCGCTTCTGAATTGATACCAGGCTTCTATCGGTCAAAGTCAAATGTCCCGACCCCGGGGTCGCTTCGCACGATCAAAAGCCCGACAGGGGGATTGTCTCAGGCATCAAATCCCCGTCCCTTGCCCGCACCCCCACGGGATTTACATTGATAGGTGCATTATTTACTTTATCTTTGTTCTGTTTCATTTAAGTTTCTATTTCCCTTGAACTAATTAATGTTGGATTTCTGTCAATAAACAGGTGGGACAGGTGGGTTATATAAAGATTTTGTTTTCAGAGACGTGTTATCCGTTGCTTGGTCTATCTTAAGTACAAAAGTAGAACAAGTTGTATGATCTTGTACAGCAATGGGCGTGGTTAAAATTGTAAAAATTGCTCAAACCATGCCTAGGAAACAACAAGACAGTATTAATATCCTCGCAAAGCGTTATTAAATTGATATTTTTACACGCTTTAATACCAGTAAAAAGATGATGAACCTTTCGTTTTTTTATTTCATAGGACATGGAAACCCAGACCAAGTTCCAAAACTTACCCGAGTTGAAACATTTACCAGTTAATGAGGTAAAGCCTTCCTATGACTTTGTTTTCAAACAGAGTAGCCTCATTGTATAAAAAATGGTTAATTAGGCTTCTGTTAGCGCGATGCTTTACGGCATGAGCGTTACTTGATGATATTGTTGACTTTGGTATTCGAACGAAACATTAAGAAGGTAAACATTGCCGATTTCGTGTTTTTTAGCAGGATAAAAAAGGAAACCTCAAACCAGGAGATGCAAGATCGTTTGGTGAATCATGCGACCCTCAGGAACAGGTGGGTACTCAAATTTTGTAGAGAAAGAAATAGGTCCCTCCATTCAAAACCGTTTTACTATGATATAGTATATAATAAGTTACTCTTAGAGCAGTGACGGATCCGGACCTTGAGATAAGGGCGGAGGTGGATCATTCAGACCCTAAGATGGGAGGGGGGGGGGGGGGGGGGCCGGTCTCCAAAAAAAAATTTGGCCTCAGTTTGGTCAAAAAGGAGGGAGGGGGGGTCGGACCCCCGGGTCCCTCCCCTGGATCCGCCAGTGAAGAGGGTAGATGGATGTTTTAAAGCTTAAGTGTGTCGTTTGTCACAGGATGAGGAAGGAATCGAATATGAACAGCCATTTTTAAATCACATGAGCTGAATCAAAAGCAGGTGTGTTACCAGGTGATTTTCTTTGAGAAAAAAAAAACGTTAAATGGTTTCCGCAAAATTTTTCTTTACAATGAAACGACGTGTCGACTGTTTCCCTTTGATTCTCGACAAGTAGGTCAAACCCAAACAAACATTTATGTTATTACCATTGCTAGTATGTGACTTGAAAAAAAAAAACTGGCGAGCCTCTGTTAAATGACCACCTCTCATAAGCAAACGCGACCCTTTTTTTCAACTGATATTTTAAAAGAGAGGAAAACATTAACATAATCATTATCCGTCCATGTTTAAAAACTGCCCGTTTGCGATGAGCTGGCGTAGGATCCAATATGCTGAGGGTGCGAATAATGGCACGATATCCATTGTTCGCTTTATGTACTACGTAATTCTTGAAAATATACGTGGCGATTTTAGTGACAACACGGCATTCCAAGCATTTAAGCTTAGAATTATATTCAAGAACATCGGCAGATCTGTCAGAACTGCCCCCTTTAGAGCCCCCTACCCCCCCCCTTATGATCCGACTCTCGTAGCAAAACAGCAAACCATGCTCAAACGTTCTTGAAACGCAAACAAACATAGAAATATGCAGGCAAAGTTGTATCGTCAGCTGGTTTGTCAGTTCTGAATAGCTTTCCTTGTTCCTTGTCTTGGTAGGAAATGGGGTCACAGACTGAATTGCAAGACTCTCTACCTGAGTTGGAGCGTATCTCTCTTCATGAGGTAATTACGGCAGACTTCCGAAGTCTTCCTCTTCAGACAGTGATAAAATAAAATAAACCTTCACAGCGTGAAACGAACTTATTTAGGCTTCTTTTTGGTAACGAACATGTTAATAGGGGAGTCGGCCAATTTTTCTTTCACTACCAGAAAGACACACACAAGTGTGTAGATACAGGATCCTGTAGGTCACTGATGGTCAGTTTATTTAAGATATTAGAACTGCTATAAAGTCAAAAAATGATCATGCTTATAAAATCGCTTCTTTGAAATGTACTCTCAACCTGAACTCAAATTACAAAAATGAAGCATTTTCTTTGAATAGAGGCCGAAAAAAACGAAGGCCAAAGTTGGTATCTAAGAGGGCTGTTTTGGAAGTATTAATAATCACAGGGCTGAGACGCGATACTCTCCGTTGTTGACAGAGATGTTGCAATTTTCACAACCCGACACGCGATAACGCGTTATGAGTTTCAAGTAAGTCAGGGCAAATTATAGCAAAATTCGCTTCCATTCTGCCGTCTCATTATCACTGTCAACAATGTCATGGATCTTGATAATATCGTGATACAAACACCACTTTATATAGGAAAAGGGAACGTATACCCGTACCCCCAACTTGCTGAAATCATCTGCCAGTCTGTCAACTCGGGGGAGAGGTCAGCGGAAACTATAAATCGCTGAAGACAAATAAATCACATTTTACAATAACATTGTGGTGTCGATGACATTGCTGACCTAGAATGATTCAAATTAGTAACTGATGGCTACACGGTAGACCCGTTCCTGTAATTCGTACTGACAGAATAGCTATTGCTGTCTATTCCGAGATGCTAAACTGTCCGAATTACCATGCTTCTTTAGGTAGCAAAGGAGAGATTGTGGTGTATAAGCTTACAAGCCTCATAACCATCAACAGAGGTTTTACAGTTTAAATATTGTCCAACAACATTGGGATTTTTATCCCGGGTGGGGTTCTATGATTATTTAAGGGGGGAAGGGGTGTGCCGCTTTGTCCCTGGTTCCCTTAGTCTTCACCCGACCATTTGCCGCCCTGGTCTAGAAAAAACACCTAAGATCCCACCCTATATATCCAAGAAGAACTGCGAACCGGAATATCCAGTTCTTCTTACCGCTGATCAAAGATTGTAAATATTGTAATATACCTCATTCTAGACTCTACATCAGCTTATAAACCACACCTTTAACCGTGGAAATGAGGTATATGTAACATTCCCTTGGGGAGGGGGGGTGGTGATTTATTAGGCCAACTCCAGATAAGCATGCATCATGACGATTAAACTGTGAGGAATTAACTAACCCTCTATTAGTTGATTTCCTGTACAGAAAGTTCACATACAAAGATGCTTGTCATCTCTGTATTGGTGCATATGTTTCATCATCTGCAATAGACCCTATTTGACGGTCATATCGCACCAAGCACATTTGAAATAAAATAGCATTGCTTTATAAATCGTTGGTGATCCACAAAATCAAAACCCAGAACATCTGTTTCATGCACTCATGATTGACGCCTAAAAGGTTAAATTGTTGTAGGTTTTGCCAGTTTGTATCATCACTCGTTCTTGTCTCACTTTCATTTGTTCAGACTGAATTGGTTGACGACCCTCATGTACAACCAAAGCAAGTGTCCACCAGCAGTACTACCTTAGACACTCGCCCCAGTTCTCAGGACGCGCCATTTACTGTTGCTGTTCCAGCGCCCTCCGCTTCACCTGGTAAGGATTCTTACGACATCTTAATTAAAATTGCGAAGTTTACAACTCCTATGTGAGCATAGAAATAGAACAATGACACGTGGTTGGTTTTTTCTCCCGAAAGGAATTCTTAGTAAAGCGTACTCGGCTTGTAGGATTTGTTGTTCAATGTAGATCGTTTTATAATTGCATAAGGGTATTCGACGATATATTCTCTCAAAATTAGCCACAAAAAGTCCAAACGAATGAAGTTTATCAATGTTGTTTGAAAGCAGAGAAGTATTATGGATCAGAATCGTCAGTCAGGATTCAGGCCAATTTATTTCAATTAATGAAATCCAGTCTTTTGCAAAGCAACATTTCTGTCTGAAAAGTTACCGCGTACAATACTATCACCACGTTAATTTCCGGACCTTATTTCTTTACAGCTAGTACATTGTTAGTGCGAGCTTTTATTCCTATGGCCCATGGACCCAATCCTGGCTTCCATGTCCGTCCAAACCTCTCCCCTCGAGGTCAGGCTCAAGATCACATCCCCTCCCCCTCCCTGTGGAGATACCCCGTCACAGTACCGCCCCCACCAGGCATGCCGGGATATTCTGTCTTTCGTCCGATGCTGACACCACCACCAACTGATTCGGAGCCGCCGAGCACAAGTTCAGAAGATCCAGTTGACTGATCAAATGGTGGACGCTCTTGTCGCAAGTCTCTGAAGCTTGAGCCACAATACTGTGGTGTACACAAAATTCCGATAGTGGAGAATCCAGAGAATCGTACAATCTCTCTGTAAACTTACTACAGTGAACAAAGAAACAGAATTTTAAAATTTGTTGTCATCTAACTCAGACAACTTTCTTCAAGTTTTCATTGTTCTTCAGTATTTGTATCTATTTTGGTTAAATTCGTTTGTAGTCTGTCATTGACACAATGCGACTTTTTAGAATGCTATAATGAAAACTCTATCGGAGAGTAACCCGGATCAAGAATATTTTCATGTATACAATCTGTACTAATTTTAACTGTATCTTATTTTTGCTGGATACGTAAGACTTTTGCAGTATTTAAAACAGGGACAGCATGATCATGTATAAAATAAATTGAGTGGTTGTTTTGTAAATAAACAATAATTTAGACCTTTTTAGCCGCTTTGTTTCTGTGTATTATCCTTACATGATACAGTAATTCAGTCTCAGATTGTAAGTAGAAAACAAAATCTGGACATTTTTTCTAATTGGATCAGAGACAATCACTATGAAAAGCTCTGTTCTGATTGGCTAAATGTGAGGTTTTATCTTTTTCCCACGGGAGTAGGATTTTTGCAATGCCCTTTGAATAACCATGTTGCGGATATGTTTGTCATTTGCTACGTTTCATTTTAATAGAAAGGACAGTGAAGTCTCGAAAAATACTTGGTCCACTTTATTCTCGAAATTAATTACTACCACACGGTTCTACATTGTAATACAAAATGGAACACCCCCTGACGGGCAGGACCCCCCCGGATTACCTTTAATTACAAAAATGAGGTAAAAAACAAAAAACCCTACTGATAACTTCAATGAATCAATAAATATATTTTCCCTGTAACTGGAAAACGGAGATTGGGTCAGATTGACGAATTCAAGCTATTTATGAGATTTTTTCCACTACATTTCAGACCTAACTCAAAATTTAATGCCCTATTTCTTACCATACAGTTACAGCACGAGCACGTTGATGTATTTTCCTAGCTTTTAACAGTAGCTGATTGATTTGTTACCACTTTGCAGAAGAGCTTCAAACTGATCACAGGCAAATTCTGCCCAAGATGTCGAATAGAAGAGAAGTGTTGTGGTTCCTAACCATACATGTCTAATTTTTGAGCGAACCATTCCCTATTAAAGGCCAAACTTTTAACAAATCTATTCGGAATTTCACAAAAGTCTAAAAGGCGAAAAACATCTGACATACCCTGTTGGAGCTGCATATACCTGAGAGAGTACCCCAATCCCCGCCCTTGTCATTCACTTCATTTTCTTCAGATCTTAACCACACTTCGTGAACAGGTTTGTGTTATGTTTTATATAGGATTTTATAAAAAGCTGTATGGCATTTGCCATGATCAAAAAACCAAACAAGTGTACCGTGTGGTATTACATTTCTTATTGCTCTCGGTGTTGAGGAGAACTTGAGGTATTACGGTGAATTTTTTATGGGTATAATGATACACTGCTACCACCCCCGCGGGCCAATATCTGAAAAGTGTGCCACTTAAAATTACTCTTTCCTTAGCATAATATTATATAACGTTGTCTGCACAGTCGAATAGCTTTCAGTAATGATCCGTTGTTTCTCTCCAAAATATCGCGTGATTCCAGCCCAGACGTTGACGTCATTCAATGTCAATATAATTAATTATGCATAAAACACCGCACCCAAACCAGCGGCCGCTAATCTTGTACATATGTCTCAATTCCGAGGCAGATGGGAAAGAGCTTCAATATCTCCAATGCCATGCTAACTGTTCGGTTTTTCAAGTCTTAATTTGTCGTAAATCAAAGAAGGAGAAATCGGGTACCTTAGTATTATCGCTGGTTCTTGGTGTATCCATTAATTCCCCGGGATCCATTCCTCATTTATGTATAGCCATACCTTTGGATCGCCGACTGACGTCGGTAAGCAGACTTTCTGAAATTCGAATGTTCACTGTTGTTAGTTTAGAAACTTTAAAGTTCAAGGCAGTAATGAATAAGCAGAGAATGAACGCCACCGAATTACTTCTCTATTTGTGACTTGTTTTGTGAGTAGATAGTATCTGCAGTTTATGCTTTAGGGATAAATGGCGACATTAATGATAAGGAAACGAAGCTCTTAACAAACTTGCAAGCTTCTAACACAAAACTGACTCTGTTATATTGAGTCAACACTGCATGAACCTTTCTAGGATGCTTCTTCTCGAACTAGTTAACTTTAACTTTAACTTGCAGAGGAATTTTTCTGTGAAACGATGATCAGTACAACTAATAAAATTAGCAGCTGAAGATCGGTGACCGTCGTGAACGTCACAAGTCTTTCGATAAGTTCATGATGTTCTCAGTCTTAAACAGACTTTTGTTTCCTTCTGAACGCAAATCAACGCAAATCAACAAAGTTGCAACTTCTTTTAATAAAAACATATATCAATAGTCTCTGATCAATTGTGTTGCAAATAAAACACAGCAATGTGGCAACATGAAGGTGGCAACAGTGGTGTTCACTTATGCGTTACTTAATTCAGTGAATTCCTTACTTTGAAAATTCTGGACTCAGTCATTCTTGGTAGATTAGTCCGTTTTTACAAATGTCTCTAAACACTGACATGAAGTTCTGCTGATATCTTTCAATCATGGTGAGTCTTTATCTGTTTTTCGACAGCGGACTGAGTGTAAATTAAAGCAGTAGGTTGCATTTTAACTCAGCCACTGTTGGAGCTTGTCTAAGCCGTTTACCTACAGCGGAGATCATCGACAGGTTTGTTTAAGACTTTACTTTACTTAGATTGTTCATGAACTGAGTAAGAACTATTCCCCGAGGAACTCAGGAAAGGCTATTTATATACTTCATCGTTGCCAATTTGTGCGATCTCTGCATAAAAAAATGATAAACTGCGTATTTTCCTCATAGAATTCAGCTCATATATGACAGTACCACCCGAGACCTTACTTTTTTCACTTAACAGTTCTTATGTAACCTGCGCGCAGACACTTTAAACCTTGTTTATATCCACACTATATGCGAACGTGGGCCGGCTGCACCGCAGGCTATTCTTATGTCCGCTTTTTTTTTCTCTACATTAGACATTTGCTCCTGGAAAGTCAAGAGGTTTTTACTTCTGTACTTTAACATTTTACCTTCAGCTTTAGATTTTTGATGGGAAAGGTTAACTTACCCATTTCATGAGCAGCGTTAGAGAAGAGAATCATCTGAAGAATCAACATGACTTCAGTGTTTTTCAATACACACATGATCCATAACATCTTCCGGCAGGAGAGCTAAGTTTTACGGAAGACTCAAATATTCAAGTTATAACTTTGATGCTACTCTTATTGATACCGTAGAAATCGTACTAACCTATTTATCGCTTCTTCCGATAATTGACACAAGTCGATCCAATTTCCTCGTTTAGTTTTCCCTTATCATCATTCCAATTTTTTTGCAGATCGACCGAGCAAAATACTGGGACCTAAGAGAGTACATGTGACAATTTTTCTGGTAGCTTCTACTTGTAGCAATGAATTGCGAGGTCAGTTTGCTGGTTTTTTTCAGTTGCTTAGCTCAATTACATTCAAAAGGTAATGGTAAAAGGTAATTGCTTCATCTATAAAAGGTTGATCAATGTGGTTAATTGTTTATTCCAGGCTTTTGAAGCTTCTTCATAACTGAACAATAGTCTACACTGTTATCAACGTTAGGTAAGCTTCTTGACCTCAGTAGACGCAGCTGTTTTTGCTTACTATGAATCTATAAATGTTCATTCTAAGAGGAATTCTTGCTTTAGCAGCCTATTTTTTTTCTCTTTGTACATTTAATGTGAATTATTGGTCTCACTTGGTGTTAAACACCAGTTAATGCAGACCTTTATCAGAACGTAGTACTCAGTAATACTCGATATTTGTCGATTGATTAGTTATAATAATCGATAAAAATCGATAATCACAAATTTGGCTGGAGTTCCCCAATTTTTTGTCCTTTCGAAGCTGAACCAGCGAGCGGTACGTCTGTTGACTCATTGAGTGGTAGAACTAAAGATTTGTTGAAAGAAGCATGACATCATGATGAAAATGACACGAGTCACGTTACATTGTTGCTCTTATGGTTGTGTTTCCTATCGATTTGAGTATATGCAGTACCCCTGAGTACCCTGTAGTGACATACAAATTCTTAGGGTCAATATCAATAAGGCGAATAAAGTGTTATGGATATGTTTATTGACTTTGATATCAGTTACGAGTTGCTGTTTATCAGTAATGTTCTAGTGAGTGACGATGGACTAAACACAACAGAAAAACGAATCAGCCAACTTGGCTTTGCCCATTTTTATCTTTTCGATATTTTTCAATCAAAATCAATAAAATCAATCGTTTAATTGCAGAAGTTGATAATCACAAAAACTCGACTGATTGATTTCCATCGATTTTTGATATTAATCAATAAATTATAATTGATTTTGATTGATTACTATTGATTTTAATTGAGTATCGAAAATATCGATTTGTTACTTTCTGATAATGTGTAAGTCAAAATTTATTAAAATTCGAATGGGCGATTCCAGAAAATATCCATACCATACCACGGACGGCTTTAAGGATTTCCGAAGGGGAGGGGGGATTCACGATTATGGAATTCTGAAGGCATGGGGGGGTATTTACGATTTGAAATCCGAAGGTATGGGGGAATTCCACAGGTGGGATTTCTGGAGTAGAAAGTGTAGAGTAAGTTCCTGGAAAACGCTGTTGTTGTGGACTTTTGTAGTTCGTAAATAAACCACGAACGTATGACCGCGGAAGCAGAAGACAAGCATCGATAGATCAGACACGTGTTTACGCTCATAACTTATAGAAGTGAACAGTAAAACGTTGGTTTCACATTTACCTTGATGAATTTCTTGTCACGTGAATAAAAACTGAAAATGTATCTTTTAATACCGCTTGCAAATTTCTTGTTACTCCCGTCCGAAACCGTCCGATAAACAGTAAAAAACTCACACCAGTCCCTCACTTCCAAGGAACGCCTGTCAGATTAGAACGCTTTTCGTGCGCACTACATGACGTATAAAAGGACGCAACACAACTCGACGGTATATTTGACCGCCAAAAGATCTTAACAGTCTGTTTGAGCTATTTTCCTTTTTAAACATCAAAACAGCACAAGAAAACAAAGAGGAGTAAAATTACCTTAAGTGGTGTTTATTTTTATAGCCAAATTCGGACTTAAAAAGGAGTTTGCACGGCCTGGCAACTAGCGTAGGTTTTTCTTGTCACTGAAGAGTAAAGCTTGTCACCTGGTGCGGCTAGATCACAGCCTTGAGGAGGCATAAATTCATGTTCGTTTGTTCTTATAGGCGTTGCTAAGTCGAAAATGTACTTCCAAAAAAAAACCGGAAATTCTGAAGGGGAGGGGGGGTTCACGACTATGGAATTCTGAGGGCATGGGGGGGTAGCGCATTTTGGAATTTCCGAAGGCAAGGGGGGGTTAAAACATGGAAGCCGTCCGTGGTTGGGTATGGATATTTTCTGGAATTGCCCAATTACGGTTAATCCCAGACAAAAATATACCAATTGTGTCCAAATATCCCTACCCGGAGTACCAGGTAAGTTGAAAAGGGACCACATTACCTATCAATGTAAAGGGAGTGTTGGGGGGGGGGGCAGGGAGGCAGGGCATAGTGTGGGGATTTGACATTTTTCCAAAATTTGTTGTCAAATTCCCTGCCCACAGGCAAATCATTCCAGTCAAATGCACAAAAATTTCCTAGAGCTGATAAATTTTATCAGGGTTGCTACCGTCAGGGATAAGTCAGGGAAAAACAAAAATTTTTCAAGGTCAGGGAAAAGTCAGGGAATTTTTTAAAAAGTCAGGGAACTCTGTTTTCTGGCGCAATGCATCAAGGTTGGCAGTGGGCCTTTAAAGGCAAAATTAAACCTCTCTGAACGTTTTCAACCTGATGGAGTTTTCTGTTTTGAAAATAGAGCTTCTGTTTACTTTGATACAGCAGTTTATTAAACGTTTAGTTGATCCTAGTGCACATTGAACATCGAAAGATTCAAATATCCCCTTCCCCGGGAGAACAAGATCATTCTAATGCCCCACCCCAGGTCCAACACACAATCAAATCCCCTCTCCTCCCCACCCCATGCCCTGCCTTACTTTTTGCCATATATTTCAGTGAAACTGCATGGCTGACCAAGACAGTTGGTATGACTTGGAGTGAAAGACTACTGATGGAATTAATTTCATTTTAACAAACAAAGGTATTCTCTTACAATACAAATCTAAAATGGTATTTCTCTACAGTCTGAGTTCTCTTTTATGTGATGTGCTATACAAGTAGAATGAAAGACTTTGCTTTTGTTAGTCCTCAAAAATATCCTGGTGATTTGCTGGCAGGGAAAGTTATTAGAGATTTTGGTCCACAGCTAGTTTGCTGACGTTAAAAATTAAGTTGAGATGCTCCTTGTTGGGGAACAGCAAAATATTTTAAAATTGTTTAAAATAAAGTTAGTGAGCAGCATGGAAAAGTGTATGTTGCATAAACAAACAGTGTCGGATCCAGACCTTGAGATAAGGAGGGGTGGGGTGGGGGCAGTCTCCAAAAAAAAATGTTTTCGCCCTTCGGGCCTCAGTTTAGTCTAAATATAATGGGGGGGCCCAGGCACCCTGGGGCCCCTCCTCCCCTGGATCCGCTACTGACAAAACACGTAGGAGAATACCGTAAACTAGTTTTACTGTACTACATGTTCACAGAAATATGCTTATTTACAAAGTTGAATTTAAAAAAATAATTTTGCTGGCACCAAATTCCAGTACTCCTGCTATGTAATTGCAGGAGTACAAAAAAATGAACAAATTTTCAGTGATGGAGATACATAATGTGAAGGTTATTAAAAAAATAACTTTGCTTTAGGTTTTGTAAACTTGGCAACAACCTCTAAGGAAACAGTACATGATGACTAAGTAAAAGATTGTTACTGAGTGTAGCATAGAGAGAAAACGTTCCTCAATATGCAAGAGTGCAAGTGCTACATTGGGTTTTTCTTTGAATTATTTTATTTTGGCTGTACAAATTTTTGTAGTTGAGCCAAAATTGGCAAAGGATACTTTAAGAGGGTGGTATTAAATTTGCACCCATCATACAGTCAACTCCCAATAACTTGAACCTTCAAGTGAAATCAAAAACAATTTGAGTTATCAGGAGTTCGAAGCAAATAACCAGAAGTAAGGTAATGGGATGGGGAAGAGATGCAAGAATCTTGTAACTTATTCTCATTTACCGTCAGTTGCATCTAAGTGTGTACACGTGAGGAAGAAACATGTTCTAATTGGGTGCAAACATGACATGTTTTGCCACCAAACATTCAAAGTTTGGAGTAGGCAACTGTTGTTGACTTGATTTGTTTTCACTCAACAAAATATTCTTTGCAAGTATTGTTAGGCATTAAGAATAATTTCTAGAGGCAAGTGTGCTGTTTCTGAGCAATAAATATGCCTGACAGTTGAGAAAAATGAAATATGAACGGAACGCGCTGGTCAAAAACGTTGTAATAGAAGGGTGCCAAACATTGTAAGTTTGACAGCCGTTAAAGCAAACTGTCGCGCCAATGTCAAATAGTTTATATGTTTTTGACCAGCGCATTACAGCTAGAGTATGGTATTCACAATGTCAAGTATTGAATGTTGAGTAGAACCGTGTTTGCTGCAAAAACCTTATTGTTGATCATAGAGAACATTGAATTTTGTAATAAATTTGAATAGTTGGGTAAACATTAGTTTTTTAGCCATTTTGAAAAATAGCTCATATGTCAGTGGTCTAAGCTTATGTATCATTATGGCTTTGTGGCTTTGTCTGTTTGGATGTGTGTGGCAGGGGCCAATAAGGTTGAAGGTACTATGAGTTTATGCTTGGGAACCAATGAGATTTTGGAATCTAAACATGACATTGCTGCGCTAAAGGTCAAACAAGGGCACTTTATTGAGACTGCCAGTTTGGTTCTTCACAATTCGGTCATCTTTTATTACTGCTAAAGGTGTTTAGAAGCATAACATTTAAATATAATCTTCATGATTCGAATGCTGAGTACAGTGATGCAGCTGTTTAAAGGTTCATGATTTTTTAAGTGTGGCTGTGCTGGTTCAAGGCATTTATGACCTAATTTGGCTATCGCAAACGGCACAACGTACGTGAATTATGTTTCACCCACTTTAAAGTGATCTATGATGACTGAAAAAAATATTGTTTCTGCGACGGTAGCACGGAGAGAAAAAGTTCCTCAATATGCAAGAGTGCTTGCTACATCGGCAGGTACAAAACGCAGGTCACAGGTCACAGGGCATAGGGCACAGGTTACAGGGCACAGGGCACAGGTCATAGGGCACAGAAAACGCAGTAAAAACAGTTAAGACACTCCATTAGGCTTTTTTGTTTTATTTCCGGTTACGCCACAATCAGGCATATGCTTGCCATCGACCATGCTTTCCGGTTTTGTACTGAGAGTATAAAAAACTTTCAAATTATGCAAACGGTCTTGGTCTAAAAGGTGTCACTATTTCGTAACTACGGCTAGAATCATACCATGTTTCCATTGCTCAACTTAATGACAATGTACGCAGCAACAAACCGAAATCGGCAATTCACGATTGCAGCACAGTCGATAGTTAGCGAAGTAGACGTGTGTTGATAATTCACTAAGTTATTTTTCAGTTCTTCAGTGGAACTGAGGCCAAAATAACTTGTCACCAAGTGCTGTTTTCTTACCTCGAAACTCTGGTCTTCCGCCTTGTTGCTTTCTGCACAGACGAGGCTATTTTCCGTTCCATTCTCCTCTCAGAGCCTCGTTCCAAGTCCGCTCGTGTGGAGCGAAGAAAAAGCCTCGTTTCGAGATCTCCAGAGAAGGAACTCCTCAAGTTCCAATACAATGTGTAACTTTAGCCATTTACTTGTTCAACCCTCAGTACAAAACCGGAAAGCATGGTCGATGGCAAGCATATGCCTGATTGTGGCGTAACCGGAAATAAAACAAAAAAGCGTTGGAGTGTCTTAACTGTTTTTACTGCGTTTTCTGTGCCCTATGACCTGTGCCCTGTGCCCTGTGACCTGTGACCTGTGCTCTGTGACCTGACCTGTGACCTGTGACCTGCGTTTTGTACCTGCCGTTGCTACATTGAGTTTTTCTCTGAATTTTATTTTGGCTGTATGAATTGAGAAATTGTCCTTGAGCTTAAATTGGCAAGGGTCATACTTTAAGAGGGTGGTTATTAAATTTGCACCTGTCACGCAGTAGAATCCTGATAACTCGAACCTCATATTTCAAAGGAAATGAAAAACACTTTGAGTTATCAGGAGTTTGAAGCAAATAACCAGAAGTAAGGTAAATAGGATAGGGGAGAAATGCAAATGTCATGTACCTTACTGGGGAAAATCACAACTTTGATACTCTCTAAATCTTAAAATCCCTATAAATCCCAGCTAAAAACCATGAAATTAAATACTTGCAAAAAGTATATGGCTCAAATTAAATACTCTGGAAATTAATTAATTGAGAATAAGGTGCACTTCACTTCAAGATCAGCAAGAGATACAGGGAGTGATATTTTGAAAAAGAAATTGAGCAACAAAGCTTGATTAATCAATACAGGGCTAAACATTGTATTTGAATTGAACCAACAAAAAAATAAAGAAGCTCAAAGAAAACACGATTGTTCTGAGAGAAATTCAATGTTTTTGACCGCAGCTGTCACTGCGTTTTTTTTAAATTCTCGTGTGGTTAAAACATGGTCAGAGTTTTTGAGGGTAAAATTGTATAGAAATTATCTGAAGGGAAACAAAATTTACTTCAAGTTAGTGGGAGGTTGATAATTATCTTTTCTTTCTATTATCTAACATTTAATTTGTGATCTTACTTTTTGACATTTTAGGGAAATTGTTAATCGAGACATCATGGCACAGGACCAAGAACTTAATAGGAAAAGGAAATAGTGCTCATAAGAATATGGCAGATGTTCCACCTACACTCACCCTAGAACTTCCCAAAAAAAGTGATCTTTCTAACACATTTAAACCTTGGAATGAAGTCCGTCTTCCAATTGACATTCTTTTGTTGACAGTAAAGGACTGTGAGTTCCTAGCCTGTTATACATACTTAAGAAATTCCTTTAAAAGCTACCACGTGAACCTTGGATATGTGTACTTTGGGAACATGGGTAAAAGCGGAGATGTGCCTCTAAAAGTTGCTTTGATGACATGTTCTGAAGGCTCTTCTGCTCCACATGGTTCACTGGTCACTGTTAAGAATGCTGTGGTGGAACTGAGACCCAAAGCTGTTTTCTATGTTGGCAACTGTGTGGGCTTGAACCCAGAAGTCACCAAGTTACAGCTAGGTGATGTGGTTGTATCCTCTAAGCTTACAACTGAATCATTAAAAACCCTGGTGGGAAGAGGTATCTTGCACCTTGTCAGGCATGCAGATCATGGCTGGATTCCTCCATTAAAACGTCTAGAAGATCGTAAAGTTCAGGTCTGCTGTGATGGGGATATTTTAAGTGGCATAAACCCAGTCAGTGCTAAACAGCAAAACATGTCTCATATTACTCAAGCTACTGCATTTGCATTCGGTGGTGAAGGTAAGATAATTATTCCCTGTTAAATGACATCATTCTTCTCTTGTTACATTTTCTTACGAGACGAGTGGTGGCCCGTGGTGTACATCTCAAACTTAAGATCTAGAAGGTCCAGGTTAAGGCTTTGCCGCACTTTGTGCTGTTTCCTTGGACAAGAAACTTTGATTCACTTTGTCCCTCTTCACCCAGGTGCAGTGTAAATGGATGCTGGTTATGATCCTTTGTGATCCTGTTTTCAAACTGATTTTTTAAGATCTATTCTATGTTTGAACAATGATGTTTATGTTTGTGTAACTTGCTGTGTTTTCTATACTAAATTATGCATAAAAAATTGATTGGAGGACAGTAGTTTATGTAGTGTTTTCCTTTGGATAAAATACAAAAGGATAGTTATATTCTATTAACATCCTAATGCATAAGCTGGTTTTTTGTTTGTTTGTCCTGTTTCTTTTATTTTTTAAATATGCTGATTTATATCTGCCTTTTAAAATCACTATTACTATATTCTGCCTACCTGTTTGCATGGTAAATAATATTGTTTATGTTGTCACATCTTGATCAACCCTGGCTGTGATGCTCACTGGTGGATCTGTTTGCATCTTGAATTTTTAGTGATTTGTTGTTGTTTTTCCAGGCCTTTTTGCTGCCGCACATGATCTTAAGATTGAATGGGTGATTGTAAAAGGTATTTCTCACTTTGCCGATGGTACCAATCCTGCAGAAAATTCTTGGGAGAGTCATGCATGCATAATGGCAGCTTCTCTTGTGTCCAACATGTTGAAGGATCCATTTGTGTTTGAACAATGGCCTCATTATGAAGGTAGGTGACAATATGCTCTTTAATCAAACCATATCATAATTAAATCTTCACATTTTTGCAGAAGTGTTTTTGGTTAAGTACTGAGGTTGATTTAAAATACTCAGCCACATTTTTCAAACGTCATTACAGTCAAACCAGGTCAAGCGTTCCCGTCGCTAACAAACTAATGAATTCATTAATGGAAAAATGATTTCGTTTGTTGATTCAATAATCCATTCATAAAATGAATAATCCAACGGTCAAATTGTACCTCGATTCAATAATCAAATGTTGATTTGGTTTATGAACAAAATCTACCTGTTCTTTATTCTTGTCTGTTGTGTTCAATCTTATTTGCTTCCCTTTTCCTGCCGTTTACGATTGCGTTTTTCATTGCCTTTAATCAAAATAACAGCTAGAATAGACATACCGCAAACGCAAAGAAACTGACAAAGGCGGAGGATCGAAATCCACCAATCACCGCACATACACTGACCTCAGTTTGACCGTCGTGTTTTCTAAGAGGTCAGGCCTAGGTCTGTTGCACTGATTATTGGCAGCAAACAGGCGTACATGTAACAGTTTGTTTGGGTTTGAACTTCAGAACTCGCCAGCGCTTGACTCTCAGAAAAAAAAAGAGGAAAAAACAAAATTCTGAGGTCAACTTGTGGAAAGTGTAATTTTTCAAAAAACAGTAATCGAATCAACATTCGATTATGGAATCGAGGCTAAATATGACTATTGGATTGTTCATTTTATGAATGGATTATTGAATCAACAAACGAAATCACTTTTCCGTGAATGAATTCATTAGTTCGTTAGCGACGAGAACGCTTGACCTGGTTTGACTGTAATTAATCTCTTTTTATAATAAACTTTAAAAAGGGTAGAGTTCAACATTTTCTTTGTCAACTCACAACTGTTGGAAACTATAAAATAGGTAAAAGAAAAATTGTCAGAAAAATGTGAAGAAATTGGTCAGAAGGACAGGAGGGAGATGTTTCCTGATAAAATTGACTGTCTGCTCATCATACTATTTTAGGCAGTAAGATTTGTGGGTTGGTACTCGGCAAGTGCATACTTAGGAACCTAAAGTCTAAAATGACTCCTGTTTAGAGCTTCAGTGGTATCTGTTAGGGGCCTGTAAGGTTGGGTGGGAATTATTTTGTTTCTCAAGTAATTTTTGATACTTCTTAGGCATTAAATTAATTTCCTACACGCCCACAAAGCTAGATTCTGTTACTTTGTAGGGGTACTTTTGATTTTTTTTTTACAAAACCCCTGTTTTTTTTTTTGGTTTTGTTTTTTTGTTTGTTTGTTTCTGTTGTTGTTGTTTTTTAAGCTCCCCATTTATATCTATAGAGGGGTATCTCCTCCTTTTGTATCTCACGGAGGGAAAGTGAATTTCTGCCATGCCCACAAAGTAAGATTCTCCTACCCTCTAGGTATGATTTTTATTATTATTATTATTTTTTTTTTTTTTGACAAGTACTCCTGTTATCTTTAATATTTTTTGGAAAGCAGTTCAAAAAAAAAAAAAAGAGGACTCTTTTATAGAGCTTAAAATGAATTTCTTCCATGCTGACAAAGGATGATTCCTGTACCATTTAGGGATACTTTTTGAATTTTTTATTTGAGTAGCACCTCAGTTGTTTAATAGGGTAGTATCTCCTTCTCCCTCGCCTTCCCCCACTTGCTGAGAACAATGGCAACCAACTTTACAGGGATTTCAGTAAGGGTTAACAAGCATGGATTTCTCCTGGCTGCTATGAGCATGACCCTTGGTCACTTTAATAGGAAATAATAGGAAAATAGGACTGAAAGAATTTTCAGGATGTTCTATTCCCTACGCGGCAACTTAAAACCATGGTAATAGCCCTGAACCCTAACCAGTAAGCTCTCTGCATTGCAGGCGTTATTTTCTGCTTTGAGATCATTCTAGAACTCTACCCTCTCTCTGGTTGATTACTATGCTTTTGAAAGGCCCAGGAAATATTTTAGTTTTTTTTTTCCTGTTTTGAAAATGTTTCTGAACTGCAACTGCATACTAGATGCCTTTCGGAATCAACTCAGTGTACAGCTGAAATCCTACATAACCAAGTTTAAAACATAAATTTATTGTCTAAAATTGTGCACACTGCGACCAGACATCATTTAGTGAACAATTCAGTAAAAGCTAAGGTGTAAGCTTTCAGTTCGAACACAAGCTGCTCAGTGCTTTTTGTTATTGAAACTTTATTATTCAGACCCAGAAACTAAAATGTGAGTAGTAAAAAAACTGACGGATTGATAAACATTTTCTCCAAATATTTTTAAAATTTTTATTCTATTTTGTTTTACTCACAGACCTGTCAGCAGGGAAACAGCCCTCTAGCTCTATGGCCACTAAGCAGGAGTTGCCAGGTACTATTATATCCAATAAATCAGAAATGGTACAAGACATACAGTAGATTAAACACGCTTATTTTAATATGAAAATGACTTTTATCATTTGTAGTAATTATTGCAATACAAAATGATCTTTATTGTCGCAGTTGTTATATTTATTTTAAAAAAAGTAGCAAAGAAGAAGCATGATGTGATACTTCAAACGTCAAATTCTTCTTTTCATTCAATTTTTCTGTTAGAATTTTGCAAAGGTATTTTTAACCAGCGTTAATCCTCGAGGCCAGTTATAAAAAATAAGAATTATTTTTAGCACTCAACCCGGCCAAGGCTGCCCATCCCGCCATATTCAAAATTTGTAATTGTGATAATTAATGATTCTTTATTTACCTCACAGTGAAATTACATTTTTAACTTTTTTATAACTGAAATTTGTGCTAGGTTATAACTTTATAATATAAGAGAAATAATAAGTGGGGCTGGGAAGCTAAATAAACTGTTAGATTTTCTCGTTAACTCCCCATCCATATTAAAGTCAGTGTGTAAGCAGGCGAAAAAGAAGAAAATGGAATAGATAAATGAATTAATAAATTAAATTAATAAAGAGCATTCCTTCTATTTTTGACCGTAGTATTTATATTCCTACACTATATTCTGGTGTCTTTGGGCCCTGATATCTACATGCACTGTTACTTACACTTCTGTTGGTGTATCATGAGTTGAGGATAATTTGTTTTTAAATATGGAAATTTTATTTATATTTGGTGATCTGATCATTTTATATAAATAAGGGCCTATATTTTGTGCGTCAACTACCTCCCTGAAAAGGAACGTAAAACTTTCCTCAACAGATTCTCGTTGCCTCGAGGAGTGCCAGAAACAGCTGCGATCAATTTATGAAACCAACAGCAAAGTCAAAATCGTTCCGTGGGACCAAAGCTCTGCCGTTCATATCGATGAAATTTACACCCACTTGTCTTGGCTTATGGATGAGAAGAAGCCCAGCGGAGTAACACAAAAACAACTTAAACGGTACACCGACATTTTTGACGGCGGAAGACTTCATCATACGCCCAAGCGCATTTTGGTTCACGGACGACCAGGTATCGGCAAGACCGTTTTTACGCAGAAAGCTACATTCGACTGGTCCCAGCACAGATTTAAAGGAACAACAGGAAGATTTGATCTCGTACTTTTGGTCAAATTACGTGATGTTTGCGACCTCAACGACGTCCCTGCCATTCTGAAGGATGCTAATCTTCTCGCGAGTGATGGCCCAGTTTCCACTGAAAACCTGTACGATTACGTTCGTCGCCACCAAGAAAACGTGTTGCTTATTTTGGACGGCTACGATGAGTACGCACACAGCGCAGCAAACCAATCACCTGTTCTTCAAATCTGGGAGAAAAAGCAGTTGAGGGATTGTTGTGTTATTATGACGTCTAGAGACATGAAAGGAGAGGGATTGAAAAGTTCCAGCGATGCTCAATTTGAGATCGACGGTTTCGACCGTGAGCGACAAGAAGAGTTCGCCCGTAGATTCTTGAAAAATGATCAAGATGTTAAAGAGTTTTTAAGGTATTTGAAACAACAAAGTCTGGAGGACGTAGCAAAAATACCTATTGTACTTTTAATGCTGTCTTTAATTTGGAAGGAAAAGGATCGTGAAGGACTACCTTCATCACGGGTGATGGTGTACCTTCAGTTTCTACAGACCATGTTTAATCACATGTCGGAAAAACAAAAAAAGCCGGCGGAAAAAGTTGACGATCACAAACAAGAACTCTGTAAAGTAGGAGAACTAGCCTTTGACGCACTTCTACAAGATTTACTTTATTTTCCTCTCAGTAAACTGCCGGATCACGTTTTGACTGAGAAACTGATCGAGGCCGGGTTGTTTCAGCTGCTAAACATGTCCGCTCTTAACCCGTGCAAAGCCGTGCACTTCATTCACAAATCCATGCAGGAGTTTTTGGCTTCTTTATTTCTAAAAGAAGAACTGTTATCTCAAGAAAGTAAAAACAGTTCCCTTTTCAAAGTCGACTCAATTGAAAAGATCTTCAAGTTGAATGAAGTTTTAAAATTTGCTGCTGAAATGTCAGAAGAAGCCGCGCGCGAGATCTTGATTCATCTGTTGGAAATGGCGGCGAAGGAAGACGGAGAGTACAGCTTCGACAACGAAGCACCGTCAGTCAACGATTTGTCTCATGAAAAAGAAAATCTTTTAACTCTGTCTACACAGTTATTCTTCTACTGCTCAGCAGACACGAGAACAGAACTTTTCCCCAATTTTCTTTCTAATCTAGGAGGTGTTTTTTTAATAAATCCTGACCAGCTGAATATTGCAGCAAAGGAAAATTTTGTTAAAACTACCGCTTCACTTATGTACATATTTTTCTCTTATAGCAACCAGTATACAGAGCAAAGTTATAATAATTTAATAACTTTAGCACAGCAATTAAACGCTGTTATAGTTAGTAGAACAGGAGAACAGAAAGCATCAGAATTTTTGAATGTATTTCCATGGCGTAGTGTTGACGAGTTTTTTTTAATGAAAGAAGAAAACAACACTCACCTTTATTTTACTAAAATTGTAAAACCTCTTCCATATAAAATGGTAAAGACGTTAGTTAGTTTAGAAGAGACAACAAAGAAGACAAACATGAATGGTGATGAGTCAAGTGAAGAGAGCAGCAGCAGCTGTTGTTCAAAGCGTCATGGTCTCTCCAGGGTTCGGAGGATTGAAGCTGGTGATGTGAACAGGTCAGATGTGGAACAGCTGATTGAGATGATGCCGTTTATCACCGCTCCACACGCGATATGGGTTTGGGGTGAACCCGGTGAAGTGTTTGATGCTGAGGTAACAGAGTCTCTACTGAGGAGCATCCCAACAACACACAAACTGGAGATATTATTACTCGAACGTATCAATGTAACATCATCACCTGCTGTGGAGTTCATCAGCAGAGTATTTAAACAAGATCTTCCAAACTTGAAGTGGCTCAACATGTCATACAATCCTCTTCTGGGTGCAGGAGTCGACAGCTTGATAAAACATCTCAGCTGCGCTCCTCACCTGGAGAGACTGCACCTTTACGGAGTGAAGATGACTCCACAGCAGGTGATGAATCTCACATCAGCTGTACAGCAGCACGGAAACATCACTGAACTGCGGTCATCCTACCACGTAAGTTTTCCACTTTTATCGCAATTTGTTTCTTTATTCTTTGTTTACAGTTTATTTCTACTCAGCTCTTGCCTTTCGCCATTTTCCTTTCTTTGTCATTTTTATACTCGACAAAACACGAGATTTGCTTTTGAAATCAAATCACAAACTTTAGCAGATTCAAAGTATCATTTCAAATTCATTTCTTTCAACTGATTAAACTAACTCCATAAAATGTTTTAACTGAGAACGTTAAGAACAAGTAACTTCAGCTGATATTAAAACATGGAGTTGAACACAAGAAGAGAAATTTTGTATGTTGAAGCAGCCATAAGGTGAAATTATTGGGTGAAAACAAGAACTTCCAGCAAAACAAAATCATATAATTTCCACAGTATTAATTTCTCAATCAATTTTAATTCATACTTTTTCATAAAGTAACAAACAACAATCATAAAAGCAAATGAAAGATGTTCAGTTCATGTTCAATTCAAACAAATGAGCAAAGAGTAAACACATTGAACTCACAGTTTCACATTTATCGTCCAGGGCTCCTATAAAATCAGTTTAAGTCAAGTGAAGTTCCTTTGAAAGTCCAGAAAACAAACAAGTCTTTTTTATAGCTGTTCTTTTGTTAGTTCTTGAGCGTTTCTTTGGTAAATACTGGTCCTTGCAGTTCGGTGAAGCCATGGTTGGTTTTTGAAATAACAACCCGCACAAAAAAATTGTATCTTCGAGACAACGGTTGAAAGCAACACCAAACAAATTTTCCTTACAGATAAACACTTCGCTTTTCTCCACTGTATAGCATAAGTGTCCATTGCATGATTTTCATCGCGTAAATAGCATGAGCTTGTTTTCAATTTTCCAAGAACACTCGCCATACAAATCAAATCCTGCGGAGCTTTGGGCTTTCGTGAAATATCCTTATAAATGATGTTTCCTTGAGCTTCGAACAACTCCTTAGCATATTCCTGTGTAAAAAGAGATGAATCCCTGTGTTGTGTAAAATAATTTCCCTGATGTTTTCTTATTAAATTTTGAGTTCATCCTGAACAGTTTGCCTTTGAAGAGCGAACTGAACAAACTACAAAAACAACAAACGATGTCATTCAAAGCCTAGTGACGTGGCGGTCACTGATTGGTTAAATCCACCTCGGATGATTTTTCACGTGATGACATTTTCCCGCCTTTCTATTTATTACGTAACAAATTCCCGCCCGCAAAAAAATACACTGTGATCTGCGAATTTTGTATTTCTGAATATATTTTCAAAAGAAAAGAAAGAGGATTTGCTAATTTTGATTTTGACTCTACTATTTTGAATGCGAATTTCTTGTACGTGCGCCTTGATAAAGATAATGTTTGTCTTTCCAATCCCGCCGAGAGGGGAGAGGTACTTGGGGGAAAATCTCCCTCCTCCCTAAACATGGATTAAAAATTGGCGACGGGGTAACACTCGTTTCTTGAACTTAGTCGTAAAGGAAGTTGTTGACCTTCAGCGCTTCGCCTCTACACCAACATACCACACAAAGAAGGCGTAACCACCGTGTGTCTTGTGCAGTTCTGCCCCCCCCTCTCTTTCTCTCCCTCTGTCTCTATGTCACGCAACGCCGGAGAGAGAGGGTCCTCCCCCACATCCCTTATCATCACGCAAGAGAAGTCAAAATCTTCGCTAGGAAAAATTTCTCTCAGCAAATAACTGTAAAGACGCTTAAAAATAGTTTGTCAGTTGTTATTAAAACATTAACCTTGGGCTCGTATAATTTTTGACAAGGTGCCGGGTTCAAATCCTGCTTAGTAGCCTTTCTTTTTTCCTTCTGTCTTTCTCTTTTTTGTTTCCTTTTCGTTTTTGTTCTGTTTCCTTATTTGTTTTGTTGTTGATGTTTTTTAAATATATACCTTCTAGACCAAAGATAGTATATTTATGGATAAACAATCTGAATTTCTATCGTTTCCTACAATTTCCTTTTTTATTGCAATATATTCTACAAAACTAAAACAGTAGCCACGTGCAGTCACAAACTGCCTTTTATTATATAGGTCAAGTTTTGACTGTTGATCTTTGCTTTCAGCACGCGAGGCTTGTTTTGAACTTAGTACATCTTGTCAAAGTTGTTTTCATATAAACAATTGTCTTTCGTTAGTCAGTGTAATGGCATGGGACTTAAGACGAAGGTTTTGAAATTTTTACACGTCCACACTTTATTAAAGGGAGATGAGGAGATGAGTAGTTTTAAGTATTAGTTGAATTTTGTTGCAGGATGTGAAAGGGAACCTCAAACGTGAAGATAAATGGCCAGCAGAGAACTACTGGGAGAGCATGTACCCTCACCTCTTTCCTAATTCATCACCTGAATCAGCGCATGAACGGAAGCAGGTTAGTCATCACTCATCTATTTTTGTGAAAGTTTATTTATTAAATATCATTTAGTAAGGCTTTCAGTGTTTGTCTGAACAGTTCTATTTTTCTGTCCGTCAGAGATAATCAAATACGCTCAGGAGCCTTCATTTAGAAGTCTCCATTTTCCGAGTTGGTGTTACTGAGATAGTTTTTAATACAGTAAAAACCCGCGTGTAAGAACCTAGTGGCTTAATAACCTTCTGGCAGAAATTTGCTTCTTTAATACCCAACAATATAAGAACCAGATTGGCCAAACGAGATAAAGCAGGTTCTTATCTGTGGGTTACAGTTAAATTAATAAGCTTATTCATCATCTAAAAAAGAGATTGAACAGGAACCGGTTAGTCACCAGCTTCGTTTCTTTAAGTTTATGCATCAGTCATTTAAAACTCCGGCCCCCCGACCCCCGGGACTTAGCGGGGAATTTAACATTGGTCTGGTGTTAATTGTCTTACAACGGCAGGCGGAAATCATGAAACATAAATGACTGTTCGTGTAATGTTCAATCACGTGACGGCACACAAAAGTTAAACTTGAAAAAGTTGGCCTAATTTTTTTGAGTTGCAATCCGTTTTCATCCAGGCCATGAAAACCAAAGTCTTAAACTTATAGTCGAGGTACAGTAGTAGGGAAAGCCATTTTAAATATAACTGAATCATCTTTTTAAGGTTTTCTTCATTCCAATATGTGTTCGTTTTAAATGTAATAAGTACGCTAGTGGGCTTACAGTTAAATATAGAAGGTGGATGGTGTTTAACATCTTAAAATGTATGATTTTTGCCAGAACGATGGAGAAGTCATTGAAACTGAAGAAGAAACCCCATTGTATGAATCAGTGGATGATCAAGAACGGGTGGGTCGCTGATATTTTTCATAAAGGTTTTTTTTTTTAAGGGACTGCACAATAATTATTAGGAGGAGTAGGCCGGTTGTAAAAAGGAAGGGGCGTTTTCCATTGCTTATTCCCTATTGACACCAACTAAACGTGTTTTATTAAACTAGGTTTTAAAACTGAATGAAAAACAGCAAAAGTAAACTAGAGCACAGGCTTTTACACAAAATTCAAATGAACTTTTACTTTGCAACTGGAAAAGGAAGCACAGGAGTTAAACTTGAAAAAGTTGGCCCCGTTTTTTCAAGTTGCAATCCATTTCCATCCTGGTCGGAATTGAAAGCCAAAGACACAGACAATTAAAGTTGAGGTCTAGTAGTACGTCAAGTCGTTTTAATTAGAACTGAAGCATTATTTCAGGGTTTTCTTTCCTTCCAATGTGTGTTTTCCCCGCCAGCAGAGGTCTTTTTTCCCTGGTATTCGGCGGGCGCGAGGAAAAGAGCCCTCTGGTAGCAGGGAAACGTGTGTTTAGGGTTTAAAAATAATTCCAAAATGTCATGACATTGCTAGGCGCTCTTTAATGGCAGTACAAAGGTGATGAATCTTTCTTTTTTTCACGTCATAGGAGATGGAAAACCAGACCGCCGAGTCCCAAGTCTTGCCTGAGTTAAAACATTTGTCCACTGATGAGGTAAAGCCTTTCTACGACATTGTTTTTAAACAGCGTTTAAGGGCCTGTTTACATGGAAGTGGGGACCCCAGGTAGGTGAGGTAACTCGCTTGGGTGGGGTAACCCGCCTGGCCATATAAACGTTTATTTTAATATGATCACGTTTACATTATCACGTATCTGGGGTCCCCCACCTCCATGTAAACATGCCCTTAGATAGATCCTCGCTGGAAACAGAATTAGGTATTTAGGCTTCTACTTGCGCGAGGCTGTTAAACGGCATCTCCGTTTGTTAATTGATGGTGATGACTTTCTGACGTGTTTTTTACGTAACATTAAAAACTAAATGCTAAGTGTCGTTCCCTAGTTTCTGATTCTGAGTTGCAAGGGAAAGTCTTCGTGGAAATGTGTTTTAAAAGATAGATAATTAGGCCTCTACCCTTGTCTTGAAATTTCATTTGGAAGTTTTCTGCTTTTGAATGTCGTTTCATGATTTATTTTGTGACAGGACGAGAAAGGGAACCTCGAACTTGATAATGTAAGATCGTCCGTAGACTATGAGTAGTCTCTCTTTTTTTCTTTGGGCTGCCGCCCTCGTTTCTCACGTGTCGTGGTTTCGCCGTTCGACTCACGCTCGCGCACGGGTGCACTGCCCTCACTAAATCTGAAGAAAAAAATAGACTGTTCGCATTCTAGAATATTGTTAATGTTCTACATTCAAAAGGTGCAAAAGGTTTTACACGCTCAGCAGCCTTCGTTTATAAGGCCTCCATTGCGGAGGATTTCTGAGTTGGTGGTTAATAATTAGGTTAAATGTTTTTGAAATGAGAACCCAGCCCGTGCAAAGGAAGTAAAATGGTGTTTAGCATTGTTTTGTGATTTTCGAGTTTATGGTAGACTCAACACTGAATTCCTTGTTCTAAAATCCTGAAATGCAGTAGCTGAACCCTTCCATATAATAGTATATGACTTAAATAAACTCCCCCTATTACGGACTCTCGCTAATGAGGACAGTAATTTCACGGGCCGGTTGATTGTAATTCTGACTTAATTTCTGTCTAAATGTCAGGTCTGAAAGCGGGTGTGGATTTTAGAGGTCATGTCTGAAAAAAGGGTGTGGAAAATGACACTTTTTGTTCTGAAACAGGGTCAGGATTTGGAGAACTAGGCGGCACACCCCACCGAGAATTACCCGGAGTACCCCTGGGAAGCGAAACAGCTGTGTCTTTCTCCAATTTTCTAATCGTGAAAGTAATGGGAAAGGAATCGGGAAACTTAGAAAGCGCTTTTGGGATTAATTTATCGTCGTTTACGTACGAGGTGAACAAATGAGACTCAAATGAGATTTGTGAAGTCCTTGTGAGGCAACGCTCGACCAATGTGTAGGACGTTCTATACACTTTCTTTCTGTGTCTGAGACTAGGGCAACCTGTTTTGTGCCTTCCTGCCCTGTTTCTCCTATGTTTTAATATTATCATTCTCTGCGGCATCATCTCTCTTCTGCCGCCATACAAAACTTTAGGATACGAGGCTTTTTCTTTACTCACTCATGTTAAATCCCCGCTTCTATCCCCGCTTCCGAAAATTCGTATTACTGTTTAAACCCCGCTCATGACATGGGTAAAACAGGTATTTTGTTAATTTCCCCGCCACCGGGGCGAACATGTTAAATGTGTGTTAAATCCCGGCATTGGCTGCGTTAAATCCCCGCTATCTCCCGCTATGCCGCTGGGGTCGGGGGCCAGAGTTGCAGTTGGCTAATGCATTATTTACTTTATTTAGTTTTATTTTTCTGCCCGTCAGAGATAATGAAACACGCTTTGGAACCTTCATTAATTAGCGTCTTTTACTGAAGATTTCCGAGTTGGCGGTAGTTATTCTTGGCAGTTTCGTTAAAAGGTTTTAAATTGAGAACCCGTGCATTAAGAATAGTTTTATTTTATTGTTGCAGGCTATTCCAAGGAACCCCTTGCTTTTACCTGAATCATCTGATCTCTTTTCTGATTCATCATCTGAATCAACTTCTGATTCATCATCTGAATCAGAGATGGAACTGGAACAGGTTAGTCATCCACTTCTTTTGTTTAAGTTTATTTACTTTATCTTTGTTCTGTTTCATCTAAGTTTCTATTTCCCTTGAACTAAATTGATTTCGGGTTCTGTTGAAAATAAACTACAGATAAAAATTGGCTGCTGTTCTCTCGCAGGTCGCACTCAATTGATTTTAGGCCAAAAGTAGAACGTTTCCCCTCTATCTGAATGCTTGGAACAGGCTAGCCAAAAGTGACTTTTGCCTTGGAAAAAAAAGGATTCCTTTTTTTAAAAGCTGCTTAGGGAAGATATCACTTACATTTTGTGCCAAGTAGACCTAATGCATTTAGAAAAAGAGTTTTGTTTAACTATTGGTAGATCAAAAAAGGAGTTCGTTTTGTTCTCGTAACTCCGATGAAGTGATTGATAACTCTCCATCTGGTAGTTCGGATGGTTACAGTGTTTTGCAGCACGTCCAGTCACTAATGTAAGGGTTCGCACCTTGTAATTAGCTCACCCCTTTTGTTTATATTAAATAAGTCATTCACATTACAATCATACAAGATCTGTGGCAGATGCTGCCTCTAAAATGTCTTACAACGGCAGGCGGAAATCACGAAACATATAAATGATTGTTCATGTGTTCAATCACGTGACGGCACACAGGAGTTAAAGTTGAAAAAGATGGCCCAAATTTTTCCAGTTGCAATCCGTTTGCATCCTGGCCATCAATAGCCAAAGTCTTACACTTGTAGTGGAGCTATAGTAGTACGTAAAGTCATTTGAAATAGAACTGAACCGTTATTTCAGGGTTTTCTTTCATTCCAATGTCTGTTCGTTCTAAAATAAGTACGCTAGGGGGCTTACAGGTACATATGGAAGATGGATGGTGTTTAGTGTCATAAAATGTATGATTTTGCCAGAACGAGGGAGAAGTCATTGAATCTGAAGATGGAAAGGCATTATATGAATCAGAGGAGAATCAAGAACAGGTTGGTTGCTGATATTTTTTATAAAGGTTTTGTTTGAGCCGGGACTGTGCAATAATTATCAGGAGAAGGAGGTTGTAAAAAGGAAGGGGCGTTGTCCATTGCTTATTCTTCATTCACACCAACTAAACATGTTTAAATAAGCTAGGTTTTGAAAAATTAAAAACAGCAAAAGTAAACTGAAACACAGGCTTTTACACAAAATTCAAATAAACTTTTCTGTATTACGTAATTACACTAAATTTGCAATCGGAAAAAGCTTTTATGAAGAAAACAAATTTAAACCGTGTTTAACTGAACACCTTTTAAACCTGTGTAAGCTTTGAGTGAATGGAGCATTGGTCTATCGCAAGTTAAGTACATGAGTAAAATAAGTTGTATAATACTGTACAACCATGGGCGTGGTTAAAATTGTAAATAGCGCGCATTATATACTTAGGAAACAACAAGACAGTACGTC